AGGGAGGGGGCGGGAGATAAACGCCATCTCCATATTCCGCTCGCTCAGTCGCACTGTCAACTACACGCCTTACCACGCCAAACGCGGTCTTTGTCCCCCTTATTCCTGATTGTTCTCTACCGCTGGATGCGTATTTAGCTGCGAGATCTTGGCAGGCAATTCTGTACATTGAGGGTAGAGCAGGCAGAGTAGGGGACTGCACTCGGATACCACTACCCTCCAAGCCCCGTTTCCGTGTACTTTTGAGCGGACAGGGTGTTACACCTGCCCAGCCACCAACCCGTTCTTCTCAAACATGGCAAGGACCTCGAGGAAAGTGTACAGTTCTTCTTTAACGATATGCCACTCTTGTTCTCTCCCTCTATACATGCCAAAAGATACAGGGGTAATCAGACCGACTGATGATCTACAAGAATTAGGCATCCTAGCAGCACTTAACATAGCCGAAAGTAAATAGCTACCTTGGGATGTGAACGACGCTATTGACTTCTTGACAATCGTCTTGCAGTTCAACACTCGTCTCAATTTCATACACTTCTGTTTCCATGGCATCTTCATTCCGTAAAGCATCGCCACCTTTCTGGGTAGACTCGACCTCCTCTACATATTTGACAGATTCGATCTCCTCCTGAGTTTCAAAACGCTGTTCATTTTGCAGTTCTTCTCTAATTAATATCTTTCCGACTGAGTTCATCTGCCAATATCGGCTCAACAATTCGAGCTCCTAAAGCATCACACTTTGCAAGACTTCTTTTTTCCTTAGTTTTCTTTTCCTTAACTTCTCAAGTTGTGTTGAGCATAAAGTTCTTGAAAATTTGAAGCAAAACTCGAAAAAATCTGACTGACAAAGTTGGAGGTCTGATAAAGAATGTTCTGAATCAGGCTGCTCCCTAACATTTACCTCATAATCCTCCTCATCTTGTTCTTCCTCATCAACCAAAGGTGGAGGTTCTGTATCATCTGCTGGTTGCTCCACTTCGTCCTCCTCATCTTGCACTTCCACAGAATGTTCCAGTACATCTTCTTCTTTGCTAGGCAGTACTTCAGGGTCGGGACTGACCAGAGGCTCGAACGGTTCATCTTGGACTTCAACTACTGCATCGTCTGTACTTGCGGAATCATCACCATATTCGAAAGATTCGTCGAAATTTGGCTGAAAGCATCACACCATAGATAACAGAGTGAAGAGAACGCCGCTGTTCGTCCTGGATAGGAAGAGCAAAAAAGAGTCCTCGTGCAAAACGAGTGTTAAGTAGAGGAGCTGGTCTCAGCCAAAGCTTGGGAAGGAAGCTCCTTGGTGGCCAAACCAACTTCAGGGATTTCTCACAAATCTCAGCAGTATTATTGTGATAACTGCTATTGAACGCCACAGTTCCCGCTTCGGAGGTTATCACTAGAACGCTCATCGATGGACTGAAACCTGTCACCAGGCGGGACTCGAACCCGCACCTCACGCATTCCGGGCGAGTGCGCTATCCGTTACGCCACCGGGGTGGCCTCTTACTCTTACTCAGCTTGGCGCTTGTACCAGAGCCTTACAGCACCCACAGGCTGATTAGCTGGTCAGCAGATGTCAGCTCCTGCCCCATAACTCAATAGTAATCCCGATTTTACAGAACGAGCACTCTTAATACCTCCTACAAGGTGCACCTCTTAATGCCTCCTACAAGGTGCACAAGGCCAAAAAGGTTTCCTAGAGTGTGGTGCAATCGGTGAAGCAATCAAAGCCGTCAAGCGGGGAGGACAAGAGCGGCCCTTGTGGCGTAACGGCTGGCGCACTCGCCCGGAAAGCGTGAGGTGCGAGTTCGAGTCCCGCTTGAGGTCTGACTTTTGCCCATGACTCAGCATTCATGAGATAACTTTCGGACGCGCGAACTGCGTTGTAAAGCAGCAGTTATCTTATTAAACAATTTCAAAATCGATAAAGGAATGGTTGCAAACCTGAGTCATTTTCCCGAGAACTTCCGAACTGGATGTCCCAGAAATCGCGTGTTGTTCAGTAGATGATGGAAGTGATGGAGGAAGTTTAAACTGTAGACGATTACGAGGCTGACTACGTTCAACTGCAACTGAACAAACTACGCGAAAGTCAAAAGTGAATCATCGGAAAAGAGCTCCTAAAAAAAAAACATGCCCAATGCAGGGCGAAAGACCAAAACGCAACAAAACGAGCCAACAAATCAATACCTTACCAGTTTTCCCTGACTTCAGAATACTTCTCGGAGCTGGACGTTCAACTTCTGCTTCTGGTGTCTTGTCTGTCCATTTCCGTTGCGATTCTGCACGTGCAGCTGCACAAGCGCGCGCCTTGGGCGTCCGTAGAATGTCCGCTATGTTGTTTAACGTATTGATCGGGATGTCCCTTAAAAAACTCTACTCTTCGCATGCATGTGTGCAAACACCATTTTATTTCGGAAAAACGTACTCCGGTATAATTACGTCATCTTCACTGAGGTCCATGAGGGCACGTTTAGCAGCGGGTGGAGATTTATCAGACTGTAATATCGGTATCACGAACGAAACTGATGATTCACTCATTGACTTTCGTCCTTTAATCTTTTACAATGAATCATAAACGAAATTGAAAGTCACTTTTTAACCCCACATTTTACTGATATGATGAGCTCAGTTTGTGGCAAATTTTGCTATTACTTGATAGGTAGAACCCTTTATCTGTAAAGGTAGTCTGGACAATCTCAGTGTATTTGCCAAAGGAACACCCCCCTACCCAACTCCCCGAGCAAAGACATGTCAGCGGTCCGTCCTGAATTCCTCTAAGGCTGAGCTCACATTTTGGCAGCGTCCACTACTGACCAGGCGCCCCCAGCGTCCTGGAGTGCGGTATTGTGCGGTAATACGGTGCGGTTGCATTCGCCGTAATGTAACGATGCCCTATCCAGCTGTTTGCTACCCTAATACTTCCCCGTTCTCTCTACTCCTGGACGCAGGTAGACTCTTGTAGGCAATGCCGTCTTTAGATTGATATCTACATCTTCCTAGCCGTTGATGGACGCGCGAAATGCCTATGGTCACCGGTGAACGCTGCCCCAAAGTATGAACGCAGCTAAGCGTTCAGTTGGGATGTGTGAAATAGCGGCGTCATTGACTCCTCAAAGACCTCAAAAAAGATCTCAGCACAGCCTACCTACTATCTTAAGGAAGCTCCTCAAAATTGAGAGGAGGGGAAGTAAACACCTCCTAACCACTCGAATTAGTACTAGAGATTACTGATTAATCAGAAGTTGCTAAGTTGTTAAGGGTGGGGGAGTAAGGGGAAGAGTAGGATATTCCTTTCTCGGCCAAACCATTCTCTTCCCCACCCCCTCGACAAAACTCCACCCCCTGCCCACTATTCCTACCCCAACGATTCGCACAACCATGATATTAGCTAACCCCTACCTATGAATATACACTTCGATGAGTTTATTTCGAGTT